CCTGACCAGCCCAGAACAGGATCCAAGTGGCAGGATCTCCCCCTACCCCACCAAAAAAGAAAAAAAAAAAAAAAAAAAAAAAAAAAGCCTATTCTGTTTCTTAACGAAGTGAGCATTAGGTAAAACTTGGGTATTCTGCTCTGGTGTCGCAGCAGCATTTCTTTTATTTCATCCATGTGAGATTGCACGTTCCTCCCCAGCTTAGGAGAGGTCGCAAGTTTCATTTGCGTTTAAAATCAGAACAGTCTCCTGGACTTGGTCTTGGCTGTCAGAGCATGAAGGGGCATGCCATCCTTTTTTATTTTTAAATTTAAATTTTTAATGAATATAGTTATTCAGCAATTACAACTACTTGAGTCTGATATTTCAGCGTCATTCCACAGTATAGCATATTCGCAACATGTATGCTTTTCAGTCTGCACCAAATCATGCTGACATTCTTTTCAGATAAGCTACAACTGTTTCTTCTGTTAAATGCTATAATATCCATATTAATTGTAAGCAAAGGACTTGAGCCAAACCACTTGAGGACTTGAATAAAAATCCCTAAAAAATGTAGGACAGCTATGATTTTTTTTTAAATTCAAGTCTAAATCACCAAACCTTAAGGAACAAGGCCACTATAATTCAGTATTTTAGAAATGGAGAAAGTGGCCTCATTAAGACAGCACATACTTATCAATGACGATTATTTCTCAACTGCCATTTATAAATATGCTTTTTCAAATAATAAACTTATTTTTCTTGGTTTTAAAGGGAAAAGGGGAGAAAGATAAAAGATTAAAAGCCCATATTTAAATTGCTGGTAGATTTTAGGTTTTGAAAAGAAAAAAAGGACTCATTATTTTCCAAAGAAGCACTGCCAAGTACCTTTTCTTCCTAAAGAAATTACTAAGAAATATAACCAATCACGAAGTCACTGCACATTAAATTGTTCTGACACTGGCACAGAGTCTAGTGTAGTTAGATCACTTCATAAAAGGGAGTACTAGTGGTTCTCAAGCCTAGATATCCTAGAACCATCTGGAATGATTTAAAAAACAGTGATTCTAATTTAGTGGTGGTGGGAGGGAACCCAAGGAACAAAATGTTTTAAGCTCTGCATTTGAATATTTAAGGCTCAGAACCACTGAGTCAACTAATTTTGAAATAAGAAGAAAATAAATGGAAAATTGGGGGAGGAGGATTAGTTTATATTTGTAGTTTACAAATCAAATATCCACTATATAGCTACTGTGTGCTTAGTTTTATTTATGAACCATCAAGTTATAAGATGAAACTCTATTCATGTTTTGTTACACTAGACCATATTGTACATTTTTGTCTCTGAGTGAATTTTCCTGTTGTCAAGATTGAAATTCTAGGGGCTGGGGATTTAGCTCAGCGGCACAGCGCCTGCCTGGCAAGTGCAAGGTCGTGAGTTCAATTCCTGGTACCGGAGAAAAAAAACAAAGGGGAAAAAAAAAAGATTGAAATTCTGATGTGCAGTATGAGAACTGCAAGCACAAAGAAAACAACACAGTTGCCGCTTAGACTCAACAGCACCAAGTGAGACTGTCGCATTTGACTCCTTAAGCTATTCTTATTTTAAGAATTATAAATAGGTGCCAATCCACACAGAGAACAAACTGTGGATTACTGTAGAAGAAATGGTTTACTCATTTTACCAAGTTTCAACACCAAAAATTTATTTATTTATTTATTTATTTATTTTTAACACCAAAAATTTAACTTGGGTGGAAGTTCTGAAACAGTTTAGACATCAAAGCAGGAAGCTGAGTCTTCCGGCTGGCTAGCTTCCTGCCTGGTGGCTCCCGGAGGGTGGGCCCCCAGCGCATGGGGAGCTTCGGGTGGGGAGCGCTGGTCTTTGGACCGGCGGCTCACTCCCGGCCTCCTTGTTCCCCGGAAGGAGGGCTTCTGGCGCACAGGGAGCCTCGGGTGGGAAGCGCCAGTCTTCCTGCTGGCTAGCTTCCTGCCTGGTGGCTCCCAGAGGGTGGGCCCCCAGTGTATGGGGAGCCTCGGGCAGGGAGCGCCGGTTTTTTGGGTCTTTGGACCGGCGACTCACTCCCGGCCTCGTCGTTCCCCGGAACGAGGGCTTCTGGCGCACAGGGAGCCTCGGGTGGGGAGCGCCAGTCTTCCGGCTGGCTAGCTTCCTGCCTGGTGGCTCCCAGAGGGTGGGCCCCCAGTGCACGGGGAGCCTCGGGCGGGGAGCGTTGGTCTTTGGACCGGCGGCTCACTCCTGGCCTCGGCCTCGTCGTTCCCCGGAAGGAGGGCTTCCGGCGCACAGGGAGCCTCGGGTGGGGAGCACCAGCCTTCTGGCTGGCTAGCTTCCTGCCTGGTGGCTCCCGGAGGGTGGGCCCCCAGCTCATGGGGAGCCATGAGGCGGCGAGCGCTGTTGCGTGCCGGCCCTTAGGCCAGCCGCCGCCGCTCAATTGAGAGCTATCATGACACAGACAAACAGTGACACAATTGGCCCACCATGCACCAACTGCAGTTGCCCACCCATGGATGTGTGTGAATC